GACTTACAGTTTGATATGTCTTATTACTTTATGGAATTTTTTTGCCATTATTTATTTATATAGTTCTCCTATCAAATTCTCTTCCCCACTTGAATTCCCCATTTGGTATTTTCCTATGGCCCCTTAGATGCTTTTACATGCTTTTTTTTTGGTCCTCTCAGTTGTTTTGTCTTTTCTTTGTGTTTCAGTTTTGGTTATTTCTTTTGAATTATGTGTAATTTCAGTAATTCCTTCTTTTTGAACGATGAGTCTAACAATGAGTATCAAATGCATTCTAAGTCTTTGTTACTGTATTTAAAAGGTTCTAGCATTTCCATTTGACTAATTCTTACAAAGTTCATCTCTCCATTGGAAGTCCCCAACTATTCTAAGTACATTAAATTCCCTATCTGATAGTGCTGGTATTTGTATCATAGTTCACTTTGTAAATTATATCTTGATATCATGTTTTATTCTTGCTTTTTTATGTGTCTTGTAATTTTTGGTTGCAAGTCAGACATCTGAAGCTTAGAAATGGTTTTCCCTTTCTCTGCAAGGTTTTTATGCGTATGTGGAGGTGCTGAGTCAAACTAGTCAGTAATTGAAGTTTGTTTGAATTTTACCTTAGAAATCTGCTAGGGCTTCTATTTTTTAAATCAAGGTATAATTTACAATAAATTTTGCTCTTTTTAGTGTACACTTCTGTGAGTTTTGACAAATACATGCAATCATGTAACTACCACCATCATATAGATCCTGAACAATTCCATTGATCACCAGATTTCCTCATACCATTTTGTAGCCTTTCTTCTCTGGCCCAGAATTTCCCTGCCACTCTCCTTTCTTTTCTTCCTCTTTCTTTCTCATCCTTCACCTTTTGCCTCTTTTCCTCCTACTCCCCCTTTTTGGCTAGTACTGAGGCTTGAAGCCAGGGTTTCACACTGAATTATATCCTTGCCCATTTTTTTTTTTTTTTTTTTTAAATTTGAAACAGAATCTTGCTAAGTTGCTTAGGCTGGGCTCAAACTTTCAATCCTCTTGCTTCAGCCTCCCGGAGTTCTAAGGTTACTGGTGTGTACTACCGTACCTGGCTGCCTGTGATCTTCTTGATGTCATAAATGGAATCCTATCACAGGAAGCCCTTGGAACTTCCTTCTTTTATTTAGTATAGGAGTTGTGTATTTTTATTTAGTATAGGAGTTGTGTATTTTTATTTAGTATAGGAGTTGTGTATTTTTATTTAGTATAGGAGTTGCGTATTTTTATTGTGGAGTTATATTACATTTCCATATTTTGATTGCACCACTGTATTTTGTTTACTCATCAATTGAAGGGATTTTAGATCATTTGCAGATTTCTGCAATCAGTGTTTCATTTAGGATGTATATGACTATATTTATTTATGAATTTATTCTAATTTTCCATCATTAATTTAGTAATTGCTTTTATCTTTGTTAGTCCCCTTTTGGCCTTTTGTTCTATTCTTTAGATTCTACTTCAGTTTTTCTCCCAAAAGGTAGTAATGTGGTATAATCTTTGCAAAGGCAATAACATGGGGTATTGTGGTTTTCACACTTGGGTAGCCTGAGTAAGAGAAAGAGAAGAAGTTGGATTTACTGACAGATTCACTGTGCCCTTAGAGACAGTATTTGACTGACATTGGCACTAGGGGAGACCATTCTGTGGTTCTCCATGAAGTAATATTTCAGTTTGGAAAGACAGCCATTTCCTGAGGTCACTCATTTATTTCTTCCTGGGGGCTAGTGACAGTGAAGGTACTCTTTATTTATAGAGCCATATACTGCGGCTGGAAAAATCCATCTCCTCAGCACTCCTATTTTATGGATTTTTAAATGCAGGCCTAGGGAAGAGAGCAGACTTGCCTGAAATTGCTTGGATCCCTTGTTGGTTAAGAGCTGCAAGTTGATCTCTTCATTTTGTGGAAGTGCTGTCAGAGAGGTGTGCAGGCCTGAAGCCTACTTGTGGAGAATGTGACAAGTGATATAGAGCACCAGGAAACGAGTTTACTTCTTCTATTCTTTAGGAAAATCAGCTCCAAGCATTTCTTCTCTAAAGTGAATGATTCTTTTGTTTGTTTTGCTGGAGCTTGGAGCTGACATGGCTTAATAAGTCAGAGGTGGGGTGCAAGCCCTTTTCTGAAGGGCTTTATCTCATTTCTTTGTGCTGGAGGCCTCCTTGCAGTAGGGCATGTATGGGTGTGGAGTTTGGGGAAACATACCCTTATTTGTTTTCTCTCTCCAAAGCATAATTTATGGGGAAGAGAATTCTGTACCTAAAAAAAAGTTAATTAACTGATACACAGGGCCTGGAATGCCCTCCCTCCAAAAGCTTCTCTTGTGCTATAGGATACACATCTCATGTGGGTCTCAGGTGTGCGCTTTGAGGTGGTGGGATCACATACCTCCATCCTGACAATCATCTTGCTACATTTTAATGGTTGGTTTTCTTTGTTATCTCTTTAATTAGATTAAGTTTCTTGAGGGTTATACCAGTAAGCCTGGAGCATGATAACTTGACAAAGGTGACTTTGCTGTAGTTCTGGTCAGTTGGTAGACTAAGAACTAGATCTAGGGGAAACTGAAATCAAGCATTTGTAATAATAATTCTGTCCTAGACCTTAGATCACCGATGCTTCTCTTTTCTGAAGGGAAAATCTCTGCAACACATGTAGACTTCTGAACTTTTCTTTCAGCTTCTGAATTCTCCTGGTTAAAGAATCTTGGACCACTTTAGTATATAAGTTAGAGAATGGAGATGATTTGTATAAAGACTCATAAAATATGTGTTGGCCCTTTCTCCTTTTATCTCTTCCCTTATAATTTTGGCTTTTTATAACCCATTTGCAGATACATTTTAAGGTCAGCCTGTGTCATACTCATTTATGATTTATGACTCTGATTTCTCACCCACCCTTGGAAGGATATTAAAATATCACGTTGCCAGCCCATTATTATTATATTAAAGAGAAAGATATATCAAGAAAGGCAAAAAGCCTGAGACAATCTCCAGGAATAGTTATCCTGAGTAAATACATCTGGTATGCAAATTTTAAAATCATAAACATCTTTCTGTAATGAAAGCCTTACCAATTAGTTTTTAATGGAAACCAGAAGAGTCCACAGCAACTTTTAGAAGCTTCTTCTGTATTTAAAAATCTGTAGCACATTTGTCTCTGAAAAAGTTTACTCAAAATACTTTAGAGTAATGATTCTCAAATTTTTGGAAGTATAATAATCTGGTGTCTGCCTTGGTGATTGTTGTTCAAGATGTCTAGATAGAATAAAGAAAACTGAATCTTATTTGTTTGGTTGTTTTTATTTTTGTTTTGAGGACAGGGTCTTGCCATGTAGCTCAGAGTGGGCTTGAACTCTTTACTCAGTAGCCCAGGCTGGCTTCCAAATGGTGATCCTCCTGCCGTAGCCTCCTGAGTGCTGCAAAACTGCATCTGTGTGGATAGCCTCCTATTTCATTCTGTGGTCTCTCTTTGGCAAGCACTCGCTAGCCTTATGGGCTGGGAGGTCTTTTGCAGAAGTTAACAACAGGTGGTTCTAGATGAAGGCTCGAGCAGAACACAATATGGCACAACAGGTGTTGGTCACTGGCTGTATGGTCAGGGAGTGAATTATCTCAGGTCCCTGAGGAGGAGCAGTGACCCTGAGCATGCTGTGCCATGCCCAAGCCTGTGATTCCTACTGGATTGTAGCTTCATTTTCCCAGTTAGACTGGAGGGCAGGGGCTGTGGGTTTCTTGTCTGTACTCATTACAGTTAGTACTGTTTGCTGAGGACTGGATACATCAATGAATGAATGAATGAGCTGTAATTATTCACTTGTGAAAACATGGCCAAAAGCTCTCAGGCTAGAGGTTTGACCAACATCAGAGAATGTTAATGTATGTGAGAGAGATTTGAAGTGTATAATATTTTTCTTTCTCTCTAAATTAATGCAGGACTTGGAGTAGTACTGGTGGCTCCCAAATGTGGCAGTGCTTGGGAGCCGTGTAGCTGCCTTCTCCCCTCATTAACTGCATTTTTAAGCCAAAAATGTAATGAACACACTTGGTATAAAGTGCAAAGGAAGTTGATCTCACTCCTACCTCCACTGCATCTCTCCAGAACACACTACTTCCAGTTTCTTGTGTAACTCTACAGATGTATTTGGAATTGCATATGTCCTGCCTGTTCTCATGAATGGTCATATGTTTATACTTTATATTGCATCTGGACTTTTTCACCTAACAATGTATATTAACACATATGAATCAACCTCAATTACTGTAATGACTGCATGAAATTTTATTGTATGGTATTTGTCTACCTAGTATACATGTATGTATGTATACATGAATACATGTATTGCTATTGTAAGCTATGCTATAGTGAAGATGAATGAATGTGTCTCTTTGAATATGTGAACAAATCCATGGAGGACAAATTCCTAGACATGGTATTCCAAGGTCAAAGGGAATGTGCATTTTAAATTTTGCACAGTTGTTCCCTGAAGAGTTTGCATGGATTAAGTTCTACCATTGGGGTGAATGAAAGTGCTGATTTCCCAACATCAATATTGGGGCAATTTAAAAAATGAATATTTTTAGGCCTTCACAACTCTGTTGCTTCCAGACCCAGGAGAAGCCTAGGGACCCATATGTTTTTTAAAACTCCTGAGACAGTGAGATGTTGTCTGTATTTTCTTCCCACGCAATTTCACACTTCTGTGATTCTCACGTAGGTGGTCCATGAACCTACATTTTGGAACCACCAAGTTAGTGCAGAGCCCCTCATGTGTTCCTGGACTAGATGCTGGTTTCATACTCCTGATGCCCTTCCTGAGTAACAAATAAACAGCTAAGAAATGAGGAACTAGTCTTGGTTGAATAATGTTGTAGTATATTTTGTTAGGTGGTAGCCCTTGCTTTTGTCCTTCTGTATTACCTGTTTTGGTCTCGAGTCTCCCTTTCATCCAGGATGAATCACTCAGGGGCTAACATCTTTCCTACAGGTTCACAAGGATGTACTTTAAACATGTACTCTTCGAGGACACCTTTTTTGACGAGTGCTATTTCGAAGATGTCACATCTACTGATACCTATTTCAAAAATTGCACCATTGAGTCAACCATCTTTTACAACACAGGTAAGAGCATAGATAGGATGAGTGGAAGGTAATGAGGATAGACTGGTGTCTAAGATCCAAACACACAGTCCTGAGCTTCAAAAGGAGGAAAGTGTTTGTAGATACAGCACCAAGCCTTAGGGTGGAGACACAGGTACGAGCCCTAGGGATGACACAAATTAAGAGCACAGCCTTCACCAAGGGATTTAGCTTGTCTGTATCTCAGTTTTCCTCACATATCAAGTAGAAACAAAGGAAAAGTTCTGGCTAGGTGTTTCCATCTAGATGAGACCGATGCTGTATCCTAATGGCCTTTGGTAGGAACAAAGCACATCACCAATTAAAAACCAGCGTTCCTGGATGGTCTCATTTTGCGCGTGCAATGCATTCTTGGAGAACTTGCAGAATTTGAAATTTGTACCATTCAAAACTCATGTTTTCACAATAACAAGGAAAAGGGAAAATTACCTGTGTTCAAAGTCTGTGCATAAAGCAAGCTGCTGAGAATATTTTAGGAATACACCATTTCAGATTTCTGCAACTTAAAATGTCACAACATTCCACTACTCCACTGTGCTTTGTTACTTTTGCTACTCTCATCATAGGTCAGGAACATACTGAGTGAAGTTGAGACATAAAGAAACTGAGCTTTACTAGGGGCCTTACCTACAGGGTCTCAGCTGAGAAACACACTACTATTATCCCCACCTTACAGTGAAGGAAACTTACAAAGTGCTCAAGGGCACAGCTGGTAAAGTGCGTGTGGGAGTGGATCCATTCCTCAATTGTTTGACTCTAGGGTCTGTGGTCTTTCCACTGAATTACTTACATTATATCCAGATTTGTGCTTTTTCCCCTGGTATCAGCACGAAGGGATAGTTTATACAACAGCATCTTTGCCCATTGTGGTATCAGCCACAAAATATTCAGTACCTGCTATCTGAATGTCCCTCAGTCTCTTAATAATCTGTTACAAGACTTACCTTCCTGAATTTGTTTTTTGGTCTCAATTAAAAAAATAACAAGCTCCAGAAATTTACTACTTGTCATTAAAAACTAGCTCATTCTTTTCCTCTTTTAAGTTTTAATGATCCCTCTTTATTTGCATACTGTTAACACAGGATGTTTTGAAACACTTATAGTTGGCCAATGTCAGAGGTGGGTGAAGCAATGGAGATAATCAGGACCATGCCACCAGTTTTCTAAGTAGAGACTCAGGGAAGTCTAAGAAGGCCAGTTCCCCAAATACAAATATCTCTCTTTACCCTTTTGTCTTCTACAATAGCAGGTCTTAGTGTCAAAAAAAATGAGCACATATCTGAGCATGGTGGTGCATGTAATTCCAACACTCAGCAGGCTGAGACAGGAGGATTGACATGAGTTGGAGGCCAGCCTGTGCTACATAGTGCATTCCAGGCCAGGCTGAACTACATGGTGAGATTCTATCTCAAAAAATAAAACAAAAAAAACCCCAAAAAGTACAACAAAAAAGAAGATGTGCAAATAGGGTTTTGTTGTTAAAGGTGTTGAGGTTTCTGCAAAGGGTGGTTCATTCTAGACCTGACTTTCTTGGATTCTGTTTCACTAAGCCAGGTAGCTTCATGGGAGCAGCCCAGCCACTGTGGCTCTTACTGTCATCTAACTGATACAGACAGAACTGCTATGCAGTTGGAAAGATGATATATTTTAAAGTGCTCCTCAGATTCATCTTAATTTTATGTCTCCTTGTTATGGTAATTTGAAGAGGTCATTGTGCATTTGACAGTGTCTCTATCCATCCACGCCTGGCTGCACCTTGACTATGAGTCATAACTTGCCCTTGGGATGGAGTGTGATTCCCTCCTGCCTCTGCCTTACTCTCCCCGATCCCCCTGCACTCATAGGAACCAAAGCTTTCCTTCTCTTCCCAGATCTCTACAAGCATAAGTTCATCAACTGTCACTTCATCAATACCACCTTTCTGGAGCAGAAGGAGGGCTGCCACATGGATTTTGAGGAAGACAATGACTTCCTGATTTACCTTGTCAGCTTCCTGGGCAGCCTGTCTGTCTTACCTGGGAACATCATTTCTGCCCTGCTCATGGATCGGATCGGAAGGCTCAAGATGATCGGTGAGTTCTTAGTGGTGTTCCTCTGGCTTCCATGGCTTGGGTAGTGACTTTCAAGAGTAATAAAGCAATGGAGTGTTTCTTTTTTCTCAAGGAAATCTTGTAAAGTAAACCTAGCAGGTAAGACTGAATCTACTGTTGTAGACCCAAGGAAACATGTCTGGGGGAGACCAGAGCTCCATAGCAAGAGTCTTAGAGGATGGACTCTGTCATTTCTAGACTTGTTCTAGTTTCACTTCCATAAGATATTGACTATATTCAACCTACCTGCATCATAATATTATTATGAAAAAGCATAAAATGCCCTTAAAGGATAGTTTGATTATTTAAGATGAGTCATATTGCCTTTCTTGTTTACTAGTAGTAATAGTTTGAGCTGTGGAGTTGCACAGACCCCTGTTGAAGTCCTCTTCCATAATGATTGTGTGACTTTGAACATGTTCTTTTTCTTCTCTGGTTTTCACTTTCCTTCTCTTTCTAAGATGAGGACACCTAGAGATAGCTGGTTGTAAAGAATTGAGTATACCATGCCCCAAATATCTTGTAAAGCTCAATGTATTGTAGACTCTTAAAACAGGGAGTTGTATTCATATACGGCTGCTTCATCTCTCCAGGATTGGCATCCATTTGCTGCAGGGACACAAAGCCATACATGATAAAAAAGAAACAAAATATATATATATTGAGGGCCAGGGTAAAGTGTATTAGAATAAGTCCAGGTGGAGAAACAAGAGACACATTAATAAAAGTACCATTAAGGATCTGCTCTAGGGATGTAGTTGATTAGGATGATTAATACAAAGTTTTCTATTAGTGAAACTCAAAGGGAAAGAAAACAAATCCCATAGTCATTTTGTTGGAGATGAGACACTCAATCAGGTCTGTGTGGGAAGGAAACCTTTTCCTGGCATTTGACTCATATTGAGTATTATTATTATAACTAGGGACCATGAAATTCAGAATAGTGAGCACATGAAGTGCAGTGTGAGTTTGGTTTTTTAATCTTGTGGGGAAGAAGGAGACTGTGCTCGTGGGTACAGCAGACGGAGCTGTCTCTGTTAGGGGCAGTGTCCTGGTTTGTCCTGAAGCCCGATGGGAGAAGGAAAGGAGGTTTTTAATGTCTGTGATGCCCATGTCCCCAGCACAATGCCTGCCTACAGGTGACTCTTGGTACAGCCACTGAACTGACTAGGACCAATGAAGATAGTCACTGTCCTGTGTGAGCCGGCAGCCCCAAGCGATCAGCAGAGGGTGTGCTGTAAGTTAGGCAGTCATCTTGACCAAAATTAGCTTCATGAGTTGCACAAGTTCCTTTACTTCTGTCAACTTGCATTTCATAAAAATTGTTAAAATAGTATCTCTGCCTAAGTGAGAAAGTGAAGCAGATTGGTGACACTTCTGCCACTTAGCCTTCTGAGTTGAGAGTCTAACAGCGTATTTAGTGGTCTTTAGATTGCCAAGGAAGGTCTGGGGAAGGCGTGGTCTGGGGAAGGCATGGGGTAAGTATAAATGTGTGACCCCGCATGGGTCCAGGGGACAGGCAGGATGGTGAGAGAGTCAACACCTTCTCCTTGCTGTTGAAGCCACTCTTGTCATTATGGACACATCCCTGATCACAGTTGGCCTCTCATGCTGCCTGAAGGCATGCTTCCCACATGAGAGATCCAGACCTACTATTTACTCATTCTTCACACACCATCTCTAATCATTGCCTCTGTTTTGCTTCTGAGCTAGAGCACAAGCTTAGGAAGGGCTTTGATGGTTCCCTCTTGGTCTCTGAACCCTCAGCCTTTAGGAAAATGCCTGGCATCTAATAGGCTAGCTCCTGTATCCTCAATGCATAGTAAATGCTGGGTGTTCAGTAAGTATCCATCCCACACTGTCGTTGTGAGATGTGGTGGACTATTCTGAAACGGTCTCTTGCATACCCACAGACCAACCCTGCTGGAGGAGCTGCTAGAGCAGCTTTGGTTTCTCTGCTAGGCTCTTGGCTGGGTGCAAGTCATTCCTTATTAGCATCAGAGTAGAAGTTTTTCTAATGAGGCTATTGCTCACTCATGTATTCACTCAATAAACATTTACTTATGCAGTATTTATTCTCTGCCACACTGTGGGGGAAGCAATAGGAATGCAGCAGTAATTGAGCCAGTCAGTATCCCTGTGCTTAAAGAGCAAATGATCTATTGGGAAAGACAGACATAAGCTAGAAATTCCATTTACCTAATGTTATGAAATGCTTACGATGGGTCAGGCTGTGTTTCAAGCAGTTTATAAATATTAACGCATTGAATCCTCACTGTAATCCTTTGAGCTAGGTACTGCTTTTATCAACATTTTACAGATGGGGAAAATGAGACAGTATAGAGAGGTTAAGTGACTCATTCAGGGTCCCATGGGCATTAAATGGTAAAACTAGACCATATGGGCCATTACTTCATTCATTTGGTGATATTTTGAGTAACAAACATTTATCAGCATTTATTGTAAGCCGAGTCCCTTGCTGGTGTCTTTGAGGGATGCATGCATGTACCGTTCTCAGGGCACTTGTGATCCACAGATGCCTGAATCCTCCCCTTCAAACGCTTTCCTAGACTTTGCAAAGAGCTCACCAGGTACCTGGTTATGGCCCTACCACTTTCCAGAGTCGGCAGACCCCTTAACAGTTGCCATTTCCCAGCTCATCCGCAGGCTGCAGTACTAGTTTTGCAGCCCCTGGTCTGAGAGTGAATCCAGGCTAGGGGTACCGCACAGAGACGTTTCTTATTGAGGCCAGATCAGCCGTCCAGTTTATTGGGAAGCAGGGTTCCTCATTTCCCATGGCCTTGATGCCTGGTAGGCACTTGTGCCTTACATTCTAGCTGGTTCTTTGGGGCCTGCTTTCTAACCTCCTTCCGGCTGACCCTGAGCCCACCTGTTTTCCTGTGCTGTTCCTGGTCTGTAGCTTGTTCTATCACATACCACACTGCACATCCACGTGGGACTTCCTGAGCTCCCCTGATGGGATTACTGGGTTTGGGCAGGATTTGGCACAGTCTTCCTTTGAGAGAATCTCTTATCGTTATTCTGTCAGGACTCAGGTAGTCCTAGTGGGAGAAGAATTCATACCAGATGGTTGCAGTGAAGAGACTATTGATGGGAGAACTTTAGAGGCCCGGACAGGCTTTTGAGAACAAATGAGGTGGATGAGATACCCAGACATGAGCAAATGTGGGTTTCAATCACCACCTCAATGGCTGCAGGGTCAAGGAGTAAAAAGAGCATTAGCAGAGCTCAGTGGGGATTGGGATCATGGAGGCAGAGCTACCTGGGAGGAGCTGTGGTCTTGGAGGGAGGAGCCTTTGGTGAAAGAGGGGCTTCTAAAACAGGAGGGAAGTTGGGGAGAAACACTTCAGCCCCTTTCTCCTCCCAGTGGATAAGGATGTCCATGCCCCAGCTTTCCCAGGGGGGCACTCTGGGAATGAAAGGGCAGAGAGATTTCTGAGTGGAACGGGTGTAAATGCAGAAGAGCAGAACAGCTCTTCCTGAGGTCATCCCTGGGTCACTCTCTAGGCACAAGTTCTCATAGGAAAGTGAGCTCCATGAGAATGCTGATGTTTTTGTCTTAAGTGTGTTATTTATTTATATTTATTTACTTACATTTATGTTTCTTTAAAATGTTTAGTTTATTTCTATTGCTCGATTATAATTGCATATATTTATGTGATACACAGGGACATTAAAATATACATATACAATGTGGGATGGATAAGACAAGTAAATTAACATGTCCATCACCTTACCTACTTATTTTTTGTGATGAGACCTTTGAAGTGTAGTCTTTCAAAAATTCTGAAACATACAATGTATTGTTATTAACTACAGTCATGCAACTGTGCAATAGGTTTGTGTTAGTTGGCTTTTTGTTGCTATGACAAAAACACTTGAGATAATCAACTTAAATGGGTGAAAGGTTTCTCTTTGCTCATAGTTTCAGTACATTATCACCTGGTGTGATCACTTTGATCCTGTGGTGAGGTCATAGCAAGGAGTGTGGGAGGGCGAAGCTACCAGGAAGCAGAAGAAGAGAAGAAGGGGCCATGGCCACAATGTCTCTTTCAAGGTCACACCCTAGTGATCTAGTTTCCATCACTTCCCAATAGTACCATGAGCTGGGGATCACACCTTCAATACCCAAGCTCTTGGGGGACATTCAAGAGCCAAACCATAGCAAGATCTCAGAAATGTATTTCTCCTAATGGAAACCTGGTATCCTCTGACTGACATCTCTCCAGTCCACCCCCAGCTCCGGGGATAACCACTCTTCTATTTTCTACTTCTGAGTTCTACACTTTTAGATTCCACATATACATAAATAAGATTATGAAATATTTGTTTCTGTGCCTGGTTTATTTCACGTGTCCTTTAGTTCTATCCATTTGACAGCAAATGGTAGGGTGTCACTGTTCTTTAAATCACTGAATAATATTTCCTTATGTGTGTGTAGGACGTTTGCTCTATTTATTCCTCTGTTGGTGGGTATTTAGGTTGACCATCTCCTCTGTTGTTGAGCAGTGCATCAGCGAACACGGGAATGGAGATGGTTCTTTGATGTAATGATTTCAATACCAGAATACATTTTTAAAGGTTGATGCTGATGTCTCTCAAGCATCTCAAACAATGTCAGGCACATAACAGATTCTCAGCAAATACTTCCATCTGCCCCATTCCCTGTCTTTCGGGCTGGGTAGTGCTATAGAGTGGTGATTTCAAAATGCTCCCTGGAATAGCACGTGTGGGTTCACCTGTGCATTTCAGATCGCCTGCTCCTTCAGGCGTGCCTCTGAGCGTGGGAGATGAGGGGAGATGTGGATGAAAGTCTTGCCCAGGACACGGGCTTCATGCTTCTCTCTGCCCTTGCCCTCCCTCACAGGTGGCTCCATGCTAATCTCGGCAGTCTGCTGCTTCTTCCTGTTTTTTGGCAACAGTGAGTCTGCGATGATCGGCTGGCAGTGCCTGTTCTGCGGGACCAGCATCGCAGCCTGGAATGCTCTGGATGTGATCACTGTGGAGCTGTACCCCACCAACCAGAGGTCAGCTCTTCCCTGGGCTTCCCTCTAGGGCTGCTGGACTTCTCTGGACAGAAGACCACCTGCCCGCTAAATCCTGTGCCGGGCATGGTCATCTTGTCTTTCTGGTGTTTCCTGAACCAAATATTTCTTAGATTCTTGAGCTTCTCCCCTGTGGAGCCTGGTGTAGGCCCAGAAGAGGGCAGGCTAGTGTGTGATAGGATGTGGTGGGTGGCAGGAACTGAAGGAGGAGAGCCAGTTCTGCCTAGGAGAGAGGAATAAGAGGGGACAGTAGGCAAAAGCTTTTGTGCCAGGCAGTCACAGATGGGTGAGGATAGGCTTGCCCATGGGAGATAAAGGGGGAAGAAAGGTGAGCTAGAATCACACAGAGTTGGAGGCAAGGGGAGAGGAGTAAGGTGGGAATGAGATAGGAAGGTCAGGGCTTCCACAGAAAGCATGGCAGGGGTGCCCAGGGTTAACTTTTATTCTGTACAAGCCACCTGGGAAAAGGCTTACTTTTAAAGGCATAGGGCTGAGGTCATTATCAATAGTTATTTCTCCTCAGGGAGGGGAAACTGTAAATTTTAAAAATAGCAGATAAGTGGCCTTGTGGTCAGAGAGGAATGCCAGGTATTAAAAAGATGAGTGAATGAAATTCTAAGTAATGCCTTAATGATTCTCCTAACATTAGTGATGCAGATGCTGGGGATTTGGGTAACTGTGGAAGACTACGACATACATTTGTGGAACCCCTCTCCCCTGAACCAGAGAATATTAAATTTTATGAAAAAAATCTGTGGAGGAAAAATGATTACTAGTTGAATGTAACATGGTTTTTGCATCTAGGAAACAAGAGAGTGAAATAAAGAGACAGCTAGAAACTAAAGTAATTTGATCAGGCGGAGAGTAGTAAAATTTAAGTCTTAAAATATATTATAGGTTTAATAACATAGGTTTTTAAATATATAAGAAAGTGTAATTGAAGTCCATCTGGTAACATAAAATACTAGTGTTTCATGTTTGAAACACTCTGTAAATAAAACCATACAGATCTCTCTACTAAGAGGTATAAAAGAAGATTCAAATATATGTCAAGATAAACCTCATTTTGGATGGGATAATGTGATCTTACAAAAATGTCAAATTGTATTTAGATTTACTCTAACTTACAAGAAAGAATATGTTCAAAGTTCAGTGAAAATTTCCCCCTTGGCTGCTTGAAAAAATTATTTTAAAGTTTATTTGGAAAAGCACACATATAAAAATATATAAGAAAATACAGAAAAAGAAAAGTTTAGAATGAGGGGTTTATGATTATAAAGGTATAGTGTGGTTTATTTATAGCCAGAAATACAGAAAGATTTTTGGGGGCAAAGTTGTATCCCCACTCTTAATAAACCCGGTATGAGAAGGAAATATTTTATTTCCATTGGGGAGGTAGTGTTGGGAATATTGTTTGTGTATAAGATGAGGTCATGACAAGATAAGAGGTCACTGACAGTTATCTCTGAGAAGTATGATTGAGGGTTAGTAACTAGTCTTAGGTTCTGCCACGGATTTAGAAACTCCAGGTAGCCATACCTTCAGAAGGTACCATTTCATTTTTCTTCTCTGTAGACGTCTACAGCAGACTTCTTTTTAAAAAATCAAGTTTATTGGTACAATTTAGATATACATAATGATCACATTAATCATAGAGAATTTGTACATATACATGGTATATCCTGGTTCCTCTTTTTTTTTTTTCAATTCCCTCCCCTCCCTTGACCTCCTCTTCCCCTCCTCATTTACAAAGCTTTGTTTCCATTTTATATTTATTTTATCATTTTTTTCTTTTCCCTTCCTTCCTTTCCCTTTCACCCCTCCTTAGTTTCCCTTTGTTTTGAACAGTTTCTTCCTATTTCACAATACCTATTATACAGTTTGGTCCTTATGTTTACCCTTTCTGTTTCTCACACTGAAGAAACATGTGATATTTACACATGAGTGTCTGATATATTTCACTTAAGGGTAGGGTCTCAAGGTGCACCCATTTACCTAGGAATATCTCAATGTCCTTCTTTATGGCTGAGTAGAACCTCTTTGTGTAAAACTAATCAGTCTTTTTTGTCCATTCCTTAGTTGATGGGCATTTGGGTTGTTTCCAAGATTTTGCTATTACAAACCATGCTGCTATACACATGGATGTACATATATCACTGTGGTATGATGTTTTTAATTCTGCTGGGAAGATACCCAGCAGGGGAATTTATGGGTTAAATGGGACCTCTAATCCTAGTTTCTTGAGGACTCTCCACACTGATTTCCACAGTGGCTGTACCAGTCTACCCTCCCACCAACAGTGGAGAAGGGTTTCTTTTCCCCCACAGCTCTGCCAGAATTTGTTATCAGTTGCATGGGAAATACAGCAAAGAATCATCTCATCCCATTGAAAAGCTTTTGCATAGCAAAAGAAATTACCAGTAGAGTGAAGAGACAACCCACAGAGAGGTGAAAAAAATTTTAGCCAATTGTCCATCAGACAAGAGACTAATATCTAGAACATACAAAGAATTGAAAAAAAATTAAGACCCCTCTCAAATTTAAAAACCCAATCACAAAATGGGCATCTGAGATGAATACATACTTCTCAGAGGAAGAAACATAAATGGCAAATAAATATATGAAAAAATGTTCAACATCACTGGTCATTCGAGAGATACAAAGTAAAAAGGCACTGATCTCCCTAGTGTAAGAACCTGAAAGAGTACATAAAACCCAAAAGATACAATTGATATTGTGAAAGGGAAAGAAATTGCTCAAAGGGAAGGAACAATTGGGAAAGGAGAAAAAGAAAGAAGGAAGGGAAAATTATATATGTGTGTGTGTGTGTGTGTGTGTGTGTGTGTGTGTGTGTATAGCTGGGATAATTGTACCACTGATGTCTAATGGTTTATTGAAAGGAACAGTTAATACTTAATTTTTTTGACAAATTTTGCATGCTTACATCTGGTAATCTGAAAAACTAATTTGAAGGCAACAATATGCAGTATAACAACCATTGGTGAATTCCTACCATCTTGTTTAGTGAAGTTCTGTATCATTTCTAATGTTTTTAAAATAATTTTTTATTCTCTTTAATGGTTTGATCAATCTTGCATTCTTACATGTGATAATCTGAGCAACTTCATTGAAGATAACAATATGTAATATAACAACCACTGTTAATTCCTATCTTTCTGTTTTGAAACCCTGTATCATTTCTATTGTTTCTGTCTATGTTGTTATTTTGTTATTGTTTTTTTACCCTCTTCATAAGAAAAAAAAAAATTATTGAGATTCCATCTCACTCCAGAAAGGATGGTAATTATTGAGAAACTGACTCTTTGTATGTTATCCTCCCTTGCATGGTCTTAGTCATGTCCAGGATGAGACTATCTGTGTTCCAGGAAGTAAGATTGGAGGAAGAAGGATGAAAGAGGAGAGAGCAAACGACTCACTCATGATCTCTCCTAAGGAAAATTTTCAGCAGAGGCCACTTGGATCACTTGGATTGGCCAAACCTGTCACATGACAACAGCCAGCAGCAACGAAGTCTGGGAAATGTAGTCTTACAGTTGGAGAAATGCAATGCAAACACTACTAATAGTCTCAGCCAATAACTTGATTATTATTATTTTTTTTTTTTGCTATTTCACAATAAGCAAGTACGGTCAGACATTTTAAGAAGAGATATATTTGAAAAGATGAAAAGAGTCTGAAGATAATAACAATACATTAATAGTGGTGATTGCCTTAGATATCCCTACAGCTTTATATTTTTCTGTATTTTCAAATTTGGTTACAATGAGAATGTGTTGCTTTTACATTTAGGAAAAAAATACCTCACACATCTTCTGTTCTTGCACCAAGGAAATGAAAGAACCCAGTCTCATTCCTCTGATGAATTTCAGGAATTCAAAATTATTTCCTCTCTTCTTTTGCAGGGCAACGGCCTTTGGCATCCTCAATGGATTATGCAAATTTGGCGCCATCCTGGGAAACACTATCTTTGCCTCTTTTGTCGGGATAACTAAAGTGGTCCCCATCCTCCTGGCTGCTGCTTCTCTGGTTGGGGGTGGCCTGATTGCCCTTCGGCTGCCAGAGACTCGAGAACAAGTCCTGATGTGAACAGCCTATGGGGAGAGGAGAGATTGAAAGGATCTTGGCCAGGACACTTAAATGCAGCCACACTTCCTGCCTCCCGCTGTCCACAGGAGACATGGATAGCACAGGAGGAGAAGTTGATTTTGCGATCCGTAGTTTAGGACCCACTTCAGCTGTTAATATGTATGTTTCTCAGGTGACTGATTTGGGGGTGCCTTGAGTCAGCCTTAGAATCCCAGAACCATGTGCTTGGCTTCAGGTCTCCCCAGCTCAAGGTAGTAGGAGGACTCTTCAGTGGGTGCACATACTAAGCAAGGAGTATGCATTTCCCTAAAAGAAGTGCAAGGACTCTTATGCTTTTCAAAATGCTCCCAGGAGCCCAGTGACCTAACATGTTGACTTGGCTGGGGGTTAGAGTCATTACATGAATATTAGTCTTGAAGAACAGGATATGTATATTTTTGCATTTGAAATGATCACTATCATATTTTCCACTTGAAGATTGGCACAGTAGCATCAAAGATACTCTGATATAGAAAACCAAATATTTGAGCATTGTCTTGAGAGGCGGACTTTTCTCTAGTGTCTTCAGCATTCTGTAATGATTGGGGACACATTTAAGAATATTTATTCCTGTGTTGCTCGGTTCAAAGAAACGTAAGGGGATAGGTGTCCTGTAAGCTAAGTTTGTGTGTAATTGTCTTTGGGTTTTACTTTCACAAATGGCAGCTGCAAATATTGTCAGCATCTTAACCCTATTTTGAGAGAAGTTGGTGTTTGGGTCTCCCAAACTGGGTCTAATCAAATGAAACGGAAGCATAGTTTCTTATAGCCACTTAACCTGTCATCAGAAGGAGGCACTTAGCAAATTAAGTGCAGTTTCATTTAAGCCAGGCATTTTTCTATGTGTAGGTAGAATGGTTTCTTTGCCCTCCTACACACATCACTCTGAAGATCAAACTCACGGTCCTCAGTGGCTGTGTTTGACTTTGCTGCTCACCCAGAAACAATATAAGGAGAACTCAGTGACCTCTGGCACTCTTTGCGGGCAAGAATAAAATGACACGGGGCATGAGAGGAATGGTGAAGCTTAGTAGTTCTTCAAGGTGTAAATTTAGCAGTAAAGCACATTTGTTGTGATTGTTGGTTCCCGTGAGACACCAATGCTGTGTGTTCCTTTTCAGGGCTTTTAAAACTCAGGCCATTGGCATGGGAGTGAAGGAATGTAATTGATGTCAGATATATTTTTCTTCAAGACTCTAAGAGATCTGAGATGCAGTTTGAAAGACCAAAGGGGAATGGGTGGGGCAAGGAGCCCAAGACAAACTGCTCTGCTAAGGGTCAGTAATGGACTGAAGTCTTGACTCCATGGAAAAGAAACTTTTTAACCATCAGAACTTTCTAGCAATGAAACGAGCAGTGAGCTAAGAGTTCCTGCCCTTAAAGGTGAACTTGCCCAGGCCGGGTGAGCATCAGTCTACAAGAACTCCTTTGCTCAGTTGTTTTGCAGCACTCTCAATAGCTCTGCAGTACTACACTTTCCCTGTCAGAAATCCCCAAAAATTTGAAACAGAATAATAATGGCTCCATGGAGTGTTTTCTCAGTCTTGATGAAATGCTCAGGTCAAGCTATCTTTCTGACATTCTCCTGATTAACAGGTGAGGAGGGGAAAGAGAAAATCGCCTGACACATCCCCACCGTCAATTTGAGGTCTGTTTTACTGATTAAAATGTTTACTCTGCTGCTCTTGTCTGTGTTTATTCACCCCACTTTTTTTCTGTACAGGGAGAGAAGACACATCAACTGTGATTTGATTCCCTGATTCCTCCTAATGTACATGTTTATGTATATACATATAAATATACCGCTGTGTATTTATGTTCATCTCAATGTTTTATAGGTGTTCATTAACATAATGCTATGCCAATAATGAGAGACTCTGTAATATACCTGTAATATACTTTCCTTATTCACGTGATTTGAAATATAGTGGCTAGGTTCGTACAAGAGAAGTGTGTAGACCTGGGATTACCACATCCCTCCTAACATTATTCTTCAATGGGGTAATACAATTAATTGAGCAGCAGCCACTTAAGAAATGTATGAGGCAGTCAGAGCCTGCATTTCTAGTTAAGATGAATCTTGTGAATTTAAAATCTGATGAATTTTGAGGCAAATGACTTTTGGGTTAACAACTCTCTTTGGTTTCTAAGCTCTAACTCCATCATTATCTTTACGGCTCCTCCATCCAACTGCCTAACCAACCAAGGGCAATTCCTGTCGCATCCATCATGCAGGAGTAGGTGGAGGGTGCAGCCCTGGTCTGTGGCCTTCCCTACGAAGGATTGTCTGGCACTGGTACCTGCCACTTCTTCAGTGCTGTCACTCCTGCTGAGATGAATGTGTCTTTAAAAATAGTCTCTGTGGCAGGTCACTGGGGGATAACGTACAGCTTTCCCGGAGATCCATTCTTTCTCATTTCGTCTTCTACCTCCAGGAACTCCCAATGGTATCTGTGGTGGGATAAAGTATGAGGTGCTCTTTCGTTGAGCAAATCTGTTCACGGTTCATGATGTATTTCACGATGCCCAGTCTTGGAGTAGTTAGTTACTTTTAATAGTCTTCAACTGTATTGTGTCATCGCCTGATGCTGATTTTTGATCTTTTGTTTCATTAAAGATAATTAGTGAAAGAGATATGCCTGTTGGTGAACTTTGTAGCACATTAGTTTGAGGTTATGTAATAAATAATTCCATTCTGCGGGTTCCCTGGGATCTTATGGTAGCCCATTAAATAGTCCAAACAATAAAAATAATGTAAGCAAACCTCTGCAAACTTGGGTGAAAGGTTATTTCCAGGGAGTAAGATCTCCTCTGTTTTCTTAATTGACTGACCTGGCTTGGGGGGAACACTGGGACTTATTTCCTTCATACAGGGACCTAGAGAGGTTACTGATGTGAGCAAGGCACTATGGGGGCCAGGAGCGATGCCCGCCTCTTTTCACAGACTCATCCTAAAGTCACTGATGCCTCCTCAGCACCTACCATCGCGTCTTTGTGAAGTGGGACCACGTGACCAGCACTTACCCTCCATTCTCCGGGACCGGCGATTGCATATTCACTTGATTGTTTTACGTAGAACAAGCAGAAGGATCAGTATAAACATGAACAGATGGACATTTATTCATCTGTTTATCCCTTTCTTCTCTCCCTCCTTCTCTCCATCCTTTTCTTTATTCTTTCCTTCCCTCCACAAATCCTGAGTGAGTCCCTACATGAGCTGGTCTCAGTGGTAAGCGGAGGGATACAGTGGTGAGACAGCTGGCTGCAGTCCCTGCCTTCTTTCACCTAAGGCAAGTGGGCGAGATGGATATTAAATCTGTCATCACACCGAGGGCAGTGGCCTCACAACGGGTAAAGCTCACCTCCTGTTTTGATGGGCTTCCTACTACTTTCCCTGTCTTGTTGGGCTTCAGACAGAAGTTGCTCCCCGAGTCTCTCTTTTCCTTAAGGAAAGTGTCAGTCTCTTTATAAACTGGGCAAGGGAAAAGATGCACTTGCTCATTTTCTGCGGATGCCGTCAGTTTTGCATGAGGTTTGTAGGGAAGAAAGCAGAGGACCCGGGCATGCGAGCTGCACCTGCCATAGTGGCTGAGGGCCCCCTGGCTTTGCAACCCAGTAGCTGTACTAACTGACAATGCAATGACTGGGATTTAGTGAGGATCAGGTGGGATCGCATATAACTGAAAACTCACATGAGCCCATTTATAGTAAGTTTATAACAAGTTAAAGGTTTAGTTCTCTTTTGTATGAAGGGAACCTGCAGGAAAGGCGGTCACAGCAGCTATGGCTGCACTAGCTTTATCACAGGGATGCATTTCTGCAGAATCGGTTCCTTAGTGTACATTTTCCACTGCTGAGGCCGCCTCACAGGCTGAGATGGCTGTTAGAGCACTGGTCCTCACAGCCATATTCAGCAGGAGGCAGAAGGGACAAGGAACGAAGGACTTGCACCTCTGGTCTGAGCCACTCTCCCCCTACTTGCTCTCCTGGAAGCCCTTCCAAGATGCTTCCAGAGGTCTGATTGACCTCTGTTGCAGGGGAGGCTGGGCGATGTGGTATTTACTGGGAATTTGGCCATCTCTTCTCCAAATTGAGGATCTTGGCAGTAAGGGAGGAAGGGTGGATGAATGTTGTGTGTCTCAGAAGCACCTGGCTGAGTGTGAACACTCACCGCACTGGGTCCCGCCTTGGGATTCGGCCTCAGTCAGTCTGGGGTGAGGTCTGAGGATTTGCATTCTTAACAAACCTGTATGTGTTGTGGATGGCATTTATCCTATGTGAGTGCTGAGTGGCACCGACACCCCACCCATAGGGGGGTACTTACATTTGGGGGAGGACGTTCTCTTACTTTGTTAGCTTAAAATCAGCCCACCCAGAAGTTCAGTAAAGCTAGCAGCCTGTGAAAAATTATAACCCTGTTCCAAGGGCTCAAAGTCCATTGGCTAGGTGTCAAAGGTGTCAGTGACAGTATTTCCTTCCCTAGAGGGCACCTGGTTGCAACCAGGACTTGTCCTTGGGGACCACTTCTGACTGCACAGCTTTGCCATTGCTAGCTCAGGGGCCACTGATCTCTGCTTCGTCTATCTTTACCTGGAAGCAAGTTTCATTGACTATTGTAGCAACTATACGTGTAGGTATTTGTAGGCAAATATGTCTACATTGTATATTTGTGGTATATTCCATTCACAGGGTTTACAGTGGTATCCTTATCCTAAAAAATTTCCCCCTCCTAGGGATGCCCAGAGGGACTAAGACATAGTCAGAGTGAACATGGCCCGCTGATGGTAAATCTCAACTTGCTTAGAAGCACCTCTGGAAGAGGGGCAGAAGCTTTTACTTTTTGGGAGGAGAAAGGCAGAATTGGGTAAATTCCTCCACACAGACCTCATTGGACACAGATTTACAGAATGGTTACCTTGTCTCTTGAGCTGTACTAGGGCCCGAGCACTATGTGGAATTTCTCTGCTTGAAGTGTTGTGCAGTGTACTGCGGGGAGCTGTCACAGACAGAGCCGTTTGGAGTCAACTGTGTAGAGCCTGTAGGTCTGAGGCCCGCTGAAGCACATTTTGTTTAATTTGTGGAGGCATGGTGGGGAATTTATAGGCATAGCTTTTAAGTTGGCAGAGAGATTTCTCAAATGATTAATAATGAAATGCAACAGAGACTAGAGCTATCCACAGATGTTAAATGGAAACATAAAACTTGTTAGAGTCATTGCTAATTACATATCAGGCGGGGGGTCTACTCAGCAGAATCTGGATGATTCAGTTCATAGAGAGAGAACAAGGGTCACCACTGTGTCCCCTCAAAACACACATTTATATGTCAACTTAACTTTGGTCCCACTGGCTTAAAATACCTAAACCTTTCAGAGACCAAGAAGATGTATTCCTTTAGTAAACAAAGGTCATTCAGGCACGGTTCATTTCCAAAGTTCATGTGCTTGCCACATTTGTTAACTTTGCTAGGAAAGGGAGGCTTATTGATACATAGGTACTGTCATTCAGCAAAAAGATCCATTAAAAAATGACCTTCACTTTTTTTTTTTTGTCTTTTTGAGACAGGGTTTTGCTATGCAGTTCAGGCTGGCCTTGAACTCGCAGGGACCCTCCTCCTTCAGCCTCCTGAGTGCTGGGATTACAGGTGTGCACCAACACAGCCGTGGTGACCGTCACTTCTTACATACAACATTTAACCCAAGCAATTCAGATTTTTCCAAATCAACAGGAATGATTATTTCAATAGGGTCTGAACAAAAGCCCTATAGAACTAACTTTCCATCTCACCATAGAACTAAAAAGTAAAGGGATATATGTGAGAAAATGTGTATGGTAAATAGCTTGGCTTAGCCACTTGTGTGTGTGTGTGTGTGTATACTCCACTGAGCGAGGGAGGCACTTCCTGGAAACTGCATCCATGGGTGAGTCTGTTGTGTACTTACACAAACTTAGATAGCAATGTCACTAGATGATATAGTCTTCTGGGGCCACAACTGTATCTGGGGTCCATTTTTATGCAGTATATGACTCCATATCAAAATATCATATTGTATACCATATTCAATTTTGACTTGTCAATTTGAAACACATAATGGCTTTCCAGAAAAAGTAAATTTTGGACTATATCACAAAATATTGTTTAAAAGACAACTGGTAAACACTTGATGAACAAATTACAAGTAAGTCTTATTTATTAAATTATTTCTCCCAAAGAATTACCAAGCAAATTCTACAGACCCTCCCATTCTGAAAGGGATGAAACTGTGCTTCTCTAAAATATATTTTATAGGATAGTTACTGATATCAGTGCAAATGGTTATACAAAGGCCAATTTCTCACAAACCTACTTTCTGAGCATTTTACAGCTGAAATACCAATCTTAATATAAGCTTGAGATTTCCAAAGAATTTTGGTAGCGCATTGCTGGTCTGTGAACAGTGAGGAAGAGAAAGGATATTTCATAGCTAACTTTGAATATATAGATGCTTATCCAGTAGGGTTAATAGATGATTTTGAAAGGAAGCTGGACACTTTAAAATTACATCTTAGGGAACTACATGGAGGTATTTATGAAAAATAAGAAAGAGGAAAAAATCCATTATATATTTATGTATATATACAGATGTATGTGTATAACTATTTCTTGTTTAATATACATACTATGGGGCCGGGGATATAGCTCAGGAGCACAGCGCCTGCCTGGAAAGCACAAGGTTGTAAGTATGATTCCTGGTACCAAATAAAAAACAAAACAAACCAAAAAAAGCCCACCAAAAAACATACTATAGATTAGTCTGTTTCAATTCAGACTATTTTAAATTAGAGGATAAAATATGAAAAAAATTTAAAGTTTAAAATATTTACCAATTAAATATAAACTTGCCAATTTTGCTATATTTCAAACGATCAAACATTAAAATGTCTGATGCATTGATTTCAGGTTTTAGGAAAGGAGAAACTGAAGGTTATTTTTATGCATTTGATTTAGTCCCAGTTCTCTGGCCCCTCTGAGTCCTGGAGGTCCCCACTACTAACAGACTAAGACTATGTCCCTACTTTTTGTTGTTATCTCTCTGATTTTGATGTGGTAGGTTAAATAGATAACAGAGATTAAGGTAATTCACAAGAGCTGTTAAAGTTTGATTGTTCATCTTTCCACAGTAACTCATACTTGTGAAAATTTTTTTAATTCCTAAGTAATAACCTCAGTTTGGAAAATTCCAAGTAACATTTGGGTTCCAGTGAGCAAATGTGGAGCATTAACCTTTCAGTACAGTTTGATTTGGGATCAAGCTTCAGCATGAGTTTTGGCTGGGAAAAGCCACATCCCAAACACAGCACTGACTATTCCTAGTCTTCTCTGAATGTGTGGCCAGTCGTTTTAAATCATTCCTCCAGGAGCAGCTGCAAAAGTGACTCTGTTAATGCTGTGAGCAGTTGGAGTACTACCTCTAGTCTTTCAGATGTGAGTTGTCGATTAGCAATGTCAGGTACAGCGATGTGCTCCTGGAATGGTGATGCCCAGGAAAAGAGGTAGCAAGGACAGTTTCTGCAGGTGTTCAGGTGTCTCCAGACATACAGTGCTGTGAGGTATGAAGAATGTAAGGAATACCTTGTGGGCATAGGAGGACTTCG